TCGAAAAAACTTACATAGAAATTTAATGTTCTATTATCGCTAATTTGTTGCTCAAGTCGTGATTTTGTTGCTTCAGCCGATTCGGAGAAAATAGTGATTAGCACTAAAGTTAGCACAGCCATAAAAAAGATAAAAAATAAAAACAATACGTTTTTAGAGCGAATTTGTTGCTAATTAGTTGCTCTATTTTGGATTTTTTACTCCACTTTTAAACACCAAACACCAAAGCCACCCTCAAAGTTACTCTAGATTAAAAAAACATCTTGAAACTGCAAATCTGTCAAATATTTCGATTGAATGCATTTCTTTGATTTTGTTGCTCGCCACTCGCGATGAATCCGATTTTGTTGCTCCACCCCTAACTCTCGAGAACCACCCCTAGTTAGCCTTCGCCAGCACAACACCTTAAAACTGATTAGTACACAGTCTTAAGGTGTTGTGCTGGCGAAGAATAGCTGTGCACTAATATCTGATTAGAGCAACAAAATCGATGCACCGTCTTCAATCGAAATATCTTATTAATTCACAGTTTTAAGGTGTTGTGCTGGTGTAGGAGAGCTAGGGGGTGGTTTTCGAGGGTTAGAAAAGTCCAGAATACAGTAACTAGCAACAAATTCGCTCTAAAAATATGTTATGTGTTTTATTTTTTATCTTTGTTTTTATGTGTGTGCTAACTTTAATCTTAACTTTAGATTAAAGTTAGCACAACCACTATTTTCTCCAAATCGGCTGAAGCAACTAAATCGGGAATTGAGCAACAAATTAGCAACAAAGAACACTAAATTTCTGTATAAGTTTTATTCGATTTATCGTGCTGAAGTGGCTGTAATGTATGTACTGGGATATCATATTTCATTGAACATGAAGGAATTAAATTGTCACTGTACTTCTTTGGAGAACGGGGTATCGATTAAGTATAACGAATTTCTTGGAAACTTTAGAAACCTTTGATTTGATTGTATCTTATATAGTGTATTAAATACTTTATAAAAATATATCTGATGAAAGTTACAAACAGATGGGGAATAAATAAGTATATGCAATTTCGAATAAAACCTCCTTTGAACAATAAATAACTAATATAAATCGGTTTAAATTATCTCTTGACTTTTTATTGTAAAAAAAATTTAAGTCTGATATTTTTACTGTCATTTTAAGAAATTTATGTTTAGAATCAAAGGCAAAAGACAAGGGTTGATTAATGTTAGGATTAGATGTTATGTATATATAATATTATTTTATGTAACGTCGCGTTCTTTATGAAAAGTGAAATCACAGAAAGAGTTCAGTAAGTGAAATCACAGCAAATATTATTAGTAACGAAAATTAAGATCGTCGTGCGCATGAACTTCCCGGGACAATCCCTTCTCCGTTAACCCACATTTCTTATTTAACGTATCGTTAGTAGCGCGACTCGTTTCTACGGTTAGTATAATTTTATACATCATGAGTATTGTTTCACATGCAATCTATAAAAGACATAAAAATTTTTTCAATGCACCAGTGTCTTATCATGAAGAAAATTTATTCTTTGCGATTTTGTGAAAAATAAGTGAATTATATATGAGAAATCTAAGTGTTTATGATTTCCTTTTTTGTTGGTATAATTAGTGATCAGTATGCTTATGTAAATTTTCCTGTTAATATTAGGTGTAATTATACGACACAACATCATGATTTTTTATGTATGTGTTTCTTATAAGAGAGACTGAAAATGTTTATATTGTGTTTAATACAAATAATTTAATTTTTATGTGATAATGATATTTTTCTTCTTCGAGGGGGGAGATCACAATAATTTTTTTTCTCGTGACAAATTAATAACTGGCAATTATACGAACAAACTAGCTTAAATTTTTCTTGTTTTTGTTTATTTTTTGTTATAAAAAGAATAAATTATGACTCACAAACGTGTAAAGCATATGCAATTTTGATATTTGTGATATTTTTATCTATTTTCTTATAATTGTTGATTTTAAAAGTTATTAAGTATCGAACGGATTATTTCAACATTTTTAGTGACAGAAACTAAATATATCGTCTTCGTTTTCTGCAGATAAATAGATGAAATATTTATCCCTGACACTCAATATGTCAGCTTTATTCGCGGTAATCTGATTGACTATTCCAAGTGCGTCACCGTTTAAAAAAATAAAACAGAAACGCCGTGCAATTTTGCAAAGTTGTAAGAATAACTTGTGAAATCGAGTCTTCTCGCGTCGATATCGATCCACTGGCGCAGTTATTGATGTGTTGTCAAAACAATGTCGCATTAGACAAAATTTTCATGCAATATTGAATTTGTTGCTTGAAATGTGCGCGTAGAATGGGATTAAAATTCACGTGCAATTCTCGATGATGCGATGACAAAGGTTAATGACAAAAAAATGATCCGTAAACGTTTAAGACTGTCTTACAAGGGAATTCGAACGGTCGGAAGTGTCCTTCACCAATTTTGATGGGCTTTGAATATATTGTAGAGCATCAAAAAGTATTACACCTATATTTTTTAGCGGCGTTTCTTGATGTTTATGAGATGAAACAGTCCCTAAAAAATAACGGATTTTTTATTTTTTTATCTTCGGAAAATATAAGATTTATGAAAAAACGTTCTTTACAAAACTTTTATTATTTTATATACTGTTTATAATGTCGTAATCACATTTTTCGACAACATCAATTTTTTAAATTTAACTCACCGTCACCCATTACTTTTGAAAAATTTAGGAGCATCGAATGCCAAATATATTAATGTATATTTTTATTTATTATGCTATTACAATTTGATTTTTGGAGGTGGGGATAAATTAAAAAATTTTACATTTTCGAAAAATACGATTACGCCATTGTAAAGAGCATAAAAAATAATAAAACTTTTGTATAAAACATTTTTTCATAAACTTTTCGAAGATACTCGTAAAAAATGAAAAAATCTGTTATTTTCGAGGGACTGTTTTACCCCTTAAATTTCAAGAAATGCTGCTAAAAATTACGAGTCTAATACTTTTTAATGCTCTACAACATATCCCAAGCCAATTAAAATCAGTGAGGCACTACTGACCGTATTAATCGTAGATGTAAGGTAAGGCAGAGAAAAATATAAGTCGTGAAAGGCTATTGTATATAGAGTTTTTCTCAAACAAAATTTTGCAATAAAAACTTATCTTTTCTTCCAACAAATTATCTCTCTTCTGGTTGTATTTTATTAGATATCTTATATATATAATAAGTACATACATTTACGCTGACACTTTTTAAATAACTGCAGATATTGTAAAAATATTTAAAGAGATTTGAAACATGCAGATGTACGCGATACAAATATCCCTAAACAGATATTACCGAGTAATATCGCTGGCTTACATAAATATGTAAAAATAAAAGAAAAATCTATTTAAGAGTTATGTGCAACTGGAACTGATAATCGATACGTGATATTTTGGAACAAGTCGAAAGGTCAAATATTTAGAGTAAAATGTCACAATGTAATTAATTGATCGATAAAAATTATTCGAGTCGTCCTAATGTCAAACGGAAACAACGGATATGAACGAAGTGACGTAGCTGGAAGATTGATCGAAAATATTTGGACTGTCGGCCTGTTGCCGTTGTTTAAGAGTATCAGTCAAGACTTCTTTGAGGTGCAGCATCGTAGTCGAGCATCAAAAACTTCGCTTTTCGATTGTCTAGTAATTCGAAGGAACGCGTTTTCAAGATTCATCATGTCTTGTTGCAGGTGATTTTCCGAAACGTTTTATTTTTTTTATATACCTACAGGATGTCTTTCCTGTCCTTTTAACTGCGAATTTATTATAAGCTAATATTGAGATGTATTTTCCTTAGTGCGAAAATGTAGAGAAAGGTCATCATATATGTATTGTACAATTTCTTCCAATTTTAGAGATGAATTATTCTACTATAACTTGATCAAGAATAAAACTTCGATTAAAGCAAAACCTATTTAAAATTAAGAATATCCATAATAATAAATAAGAATATATCTTTGAGAAAGTAGACGTACTGCATAATAACTTTTAGATGAGAATAATAATAAGAATTAGACCAAGATTTTAACATAGAACCTACTTATTAGCCCTTGAGATGTTTGTACAAATGAATCCTTTATTTTTAACCACTTGCAATATAAAAATCGTATATTTCTGTGAAGTTAGCACTCCAGTTTTCAAAAAATCATTTTTTTAAGTTTGGAATGTACCCTGAAAAAAACTAGGGGTTCTAACTTCACAAAATGAAATCACGAAATCAACGATAACATTGAAAGTATTGAAAATATTTAATTTTGTCATTAAAATTTTCTTTAAAACTCTCGAGGTGTTACTCAGACCTCAATAAAACTACCAGAACTGTAAAAAAAATTTTTAACCTTGAAGTGCCAATTTCACAAAATAAAACTACTAAATGAGCAGTAATATTAAAAATAGTCAAAGTATTTCATTTTGCCATTAGAATTTCTTTTAAAACTCTAGAAGTGCCACCCAGAACTCTCAATGGATCTGCCATAACTGTTAAACAATTTTTTATCTTTTGGAACTTGGAAATCTTTCGATCCCACATACGAAAAATCGCAAAACTTTTTATGTATTGGTCGTAGCGCTTCGAGCATTATTAGTTTTCGGTAGCGCTCACGAGGTGCTAGAACTCTTCAGGATACATTCAGAACTTAATAAAAATGACTAACAATGATCACGCATAAAATCGTATGTGTTTACTGCCTTATTTTTATTCCTTATTCTTGTAATTTTCTGGTATTACTTCTTTTATGTGACACATATTTTTAAATCATAATATTGCGCGTACAATATTATTGATTAGATCTTTTAAATTAAATTTTTATGCTATTTTCAAAAAAACAAAATGTAAATGCATTATTTTTTCCATATACCTAATATCTCTATCAATGGTGACATATTCTTGGCATTTTTCTTATCTGATTCTCTTGTGAAGTAATTCTTTGATATTAATGTGTCTTTTTATTACAGGAATTTTCACAGCTGACAAAAGAATTGGCGGCGGCGCGAGAGAGTATCCTGGAAAGAGAAGAAGAAATCTCCGAATTAAAAGCGGAACGAAATAACACACGTGTACGTAGCTGAATTTTTCTAACATTCTAACAATTTTTTATGGCTTGACAGGACTTTATAGGCGTTTTAATCTTTTTCTTAATAAATTAATATTTAAATTTAAAGCACAATAAATGTAATAATATATAAAAATTTGCGAGAAAAATGTATTGATAAGAAAATGATCAGTGTATAGTTATGTCATATGCTTTGTTATTAATATTTGCAGCTCTTACTGGAACATCTAGAGTGTTTAGTATCCCGACATGAACGATCGCTCAGAATGACGGTTGTGAAACGTCAGGCCGCTGCGCAATCCGGTGTATCGTCTGAGGTAGAAGTACTCAAAGCTTTGAAAAGCCTTTTCGAACACCACAAAGCTTTGGACGAAAAGGTATTCTATTTCATCAAATATTATATTGTCATTATGGTTTTCTACAGAACGAGGATTTATTTACAATATTTTTTATGAAAGAAAAAGAAGAAACTGAAGTCAATTTTACTTTGAGTTGATTCTAATTTTTCGGTAATCTTACAGTACAGAAACAAAAAAACTTTTGCCTGATTACCGACAAACAAAAGAGATTTGTTGTCAGTTATATAAATACCGCAATGTACTCTATGTGATTTATTGTTTTTGTGATGTACACAAGAGTAGCAAAAATTGCTTGTGTGAAAGATACTCGTATCAATTTGTTTCGCGTTTAAATAGTATTCATTGTCCGGTAATAATGAAACAACACATACATGTACTTATGTTCAGTGATGGATAGAATGATTGCAACACTCTTTTTAACGAGTTTACGTTATGAGGAACATGCATTTAGATTCAGGTTTAAGTTCCAAAATGTCCGAGGAATATTTTACTCGATGACCATTCCGAAATCATTTGGAGCGTTTCTGATCTATTTCTCAAGTAAAATTTTCCTAAGAAAAAATGTTTTGAAACGTGAACCTGAATCTAAATGCGCGTTCCTAAATTTAAGAAAAAGTATTACAACCATTCTGTCCATCACTGTATGTACATGCGTTAACATTGCGATTACTTACCTTAAGAGGAAAGGTATATTTGCGAACTTATAGGGCAAAACTTTGTGCCTTCTTTTTATCATTGGATCTACAATATTCAAATCATCTACTTTTATATGTATATATATATATATTTTTTTTTTACTTTTATTTGCACATATAAATAATATTGTATTTTAATAGATGTTAAATAAGATAATTTTCTAATTGACTTGAATTATAATTTAAAGAAAGTAATTTTTTATACGTTTTTTATTGTTTAATATTTTTTTATAAAATTAAAAATTACAAATTTAAAAATATCAAGTTACAGTCCAAAAAATTGTTGTAGTACTTTTCAGAATAAGATAAATATAAAGGTCAAGATTTCTCTATAAAATCATGTTAATGCTTCAAAGATTTTAAGCAATTTGGTCACAACTTGGCATTTTTTGCAATAATTTCTCTTTTTCTGTGCCTATTTCAAATTGAAGTTACGATTAATTGAGAAATACAGAACTTGATGTCAATATGGAAAAGGTAGCAAAAAGTTAATTAGAAGAATAAAATAAATCTACAGTATTATTTTCATTGCGTTTTACATTGTGTGTGTTTCCATTTTTTTGACATTTAATCGTTTGTATGAACTTTGTATTGCCGTTTATTGGTGTTTTATCAATGCTTTAGTAATTTGTAGTTTAGTTCATCCGTATAGATTGTTTCAATGTTTTTTAACTTTTAACTATAAACTTTTGTAAATATTAGAGTAAGATTATGATAATTAGAAGCATAAATAATAAAATTTAATAATAATTGAATAATCAAACTTTTATTCATATTTACATAATCAAATTCATTGCCTGTTTTAATTCACGCAAGGACTATACATATGTTCGTATTTCTTTTTCTTTCTAAACATTTAGACATGTCTGAAAATCATTTTATGTCGTATATATTTTAAATTATGCCGCCTTTAATTCTTTTCTAAAAAATTTTTTTAATTAATATTTTGTCATTTTTAAATATACCTTTTCCCCTCCCTCCTTAGACAGAATGTTACTTTTCACTGTTTGCATATGTATATGCATGTATGTACCTATATATGTATCTACGATGTTTGCAACTTGAGGACTAATGTTGCTGATGAAACCATTTCAGGTACGTGAACGTTTGCGCGTGGCCCTCGAAAGAAATACGAGTCTTGAGGAGGAACTAGCCCATACCAAAGACGAAGTGAGTTCTATATTTTATTAAATTGAAATACGAGAATATTTTTGGCAATAAGAATTCTTTACAAAATCGAGGGGAAGTGATTATATAAAATGCCAGTAAGCATCAAAACATTTGATTCGCTTATTAATTTGAAGTATGTGAATTTTACTGTTCCACCAAGAAACTGTGTTTTAAGGTGGCTCCTGCATAAACCGACCGAAAGTAGAAAAAAATGAAATTTAAGTATGTTGAAAGACCTGAAATTCACAGTGAATCTCTTTCTACTTGAGGAAGTCAGAATTTCAACTAAATTTTTATGTATAAGTTACTGTGATCTATTTTTCTGTTGTATTTCTTTGCAATAAAAGAGTGAAAATTTAACTCCATGTAAAATATGAAAATTATCCATTATATACAAAATGTTAAGATTTTAGACATTATAAACGTTAAGGCTCTTAAGTCTAAACTCTTGTTATTCTTACTTGCTACCTAATGTAAGTGTGGTTGGCAGTTCCAGCAATATAAAATAAGCGGGCATCCTCCGAAAGTATTAGATGATAGACCAAAAGAGAATGGACAGGCGGACGAAAATCAGCAGCACAATAAGGTATCAAAAAATCATATTACCAAAACAATCTTGATCAAACCATATATGCACAAACATTCACAGTTACATACGCTTTTCATATTTGGCACTGATCATGGATAAGTGGAGGTGTTTAGGATTTGTCTGAGAGTCGTAAAGTGCATTTGTGGAATTTTTCTCACTTTGCATGCTCATGTTTAACATATATTTATATTCTCTTTTCCTCACTTATTAAAATTTTACTTGGAAGCTTTAGTTTTTTCATGTTATTGAAGTCTATAAGTCTCTAATTTGAGTAAGAGCCATGAATCAAATCTGCGTCATCGGTTGGTATACAATTAGCGTAAAATTATATCTCTTTCGCAATATTTACTGAAATATTGATACATTTTATCGTTGAATTCAGTAACGCCATAATTCTAGAATGGTATTACCTTATCATTTAATTTCAAACATTTCCTACATTTAAAAAACTGCAGATATTACACAAGATTACACTTCTAAACATTTACATTTACGTATACATGTCTTTATATTTCTTGAGAATAACACTTAAACAAGTGTACTTTTGTCCCGGATAATGTATAAATTATCATAATAAACCACTTTTTATTTCTCACTCATTAATTCGCTGCATCCACGAGAATGTATCTATCATAGTCGTGCATGATGGTCGTACAGTCGTTGTGCGTAGTCACGTAGTATTAGACGTAGTTTTTGGGAATTGTACGGCAATGCAGGAGAGGCAATGCGAGCGAGGCATTCTGAATGTAGTGTTGTGATCGGGCAGAATGAGACTGAGCAGGCAGCAAGCCAGCCACAACAGCAGCAGCAGCAGCAACAGCAGCAGCATTACCAGCAACATCAATCGCAGCAGCAGCAACAGCAATCGGTACAAAAACCAGGTACAGAGAAGTCTGCCGAAGTTGGCAGTAGATTGAGCAATGGGAGTCTTGATCCAGCTGAACAGGATTCGGCAGTACGAGTAATAGATTTACAAGCCACTCTTGATAAGCAGGTATGAATCAATATTATATGACGGAACGGATAGAAAAAGTCCAACTATTAACAAAACTTCAGGTAGCTTTCCACCTCTGTATGTGATTATGTATGAAGATCATGACTGATTTTCATAATCTTACTTCAGCAATAAAACCTTAGTTTCTTATCACATACACATATACATATATACGCACATACGCAAGCACGTATGCACGCATACATGTATACACAATGCATACACACAGATAAACAAGAGAGAGAGAGAGAGAGAGGGAAGGGAGAAATAAAGAAATAAGATGGAAGGAGGAAACAGTCATTATAGAAGTTACTATCCAAATTAATTTTGTACTTGCCAAGTATAAAAGAAAACGTCCAAACAAAAGTTGTACTATTCGAAAGAGGAAACAAGAAGATGACAACAATAGTTTTATATCATTTCTTTTAGAAAATATTAATATCATCGATAGTTTCTTAAACATATATTTTTTTATGTAATTTAATTTTTTTAATTGTAATATACAAGATGATAGTATTTTTAATGACTTATCGCGCGTGGGCATGTGTATGTGTGTGTGCGCGTATGTGTGAAATTGTAAAACATACACACACACACACATACACACATACATTAAAAAATATATGCTACGTCATAACTTACATTATATATTCAATGTATAACCAAAATTTTAGTATTTAATCATTAATATTAACACATAATACGAATTATCTTTTGTACATAGTATATAATATTTTCAGTGGTACCTATAGCATGTTATGGAATGAGCAAAACATTCATGTTAAACGTTTTGTAATCGCATGATTAGTGATTAACAATGGGTTTACCTAGGTCGATATTCTTTCCTTAAGAAGTTTCGCCATTCCCTTATTGTGGCAGATGCAGAACATTATAAATAAAACATTAGAATGAATATGAATATAATATTAATACAACAATAGCGTGTGACAACTTTTCTGAATTAATGTTAGTATCATGTAGTATAAAACTTGATCATAATGTGTTCTGCTTAAAATTACAATGTTCACACTTCTCGGTTTCTATTTTACACGAGTAGCTTGAATGGCGGTTGGTATAATTTGATAAATGATTGAAAAGCCAATATAAAATATTATAAATATTATTTTAGAGCTCGGAGTTAACTACATGGCAACGACGAGTAGCAGAACTAAGTGGACGCGTCGCTGAATTGGAGGAAACGTTATCCAAAACGCAAAAAGATCTTCTGAAGGCACAAGAGACAGGTCTTAAACTGCAAAGAGACTTACGAGAGAATGTGGCACAAAAAGAGGATCAAGAGGAGCGAATAGCAACTTTAGAAAAACGATATCTCAATGCTCAACGGGAGTCTACTAGTCTTCACGACCTCAATGAAAAGCTGGAGCAAGAATTGCAGCATAAAAAAGCTCAATTAAAGGTAAATCACAGGTCAATCTTTATTTCCTCTTTCTACATTATAATTATAACGACATAGTCACTTTCTTACGATTAATTAAATTTATTTAAGCTCCAAGAAGAGAAAATTGCGGCTATACAAGAGAAATTAGAACTTGCGGAACAGAAACTAGCTCAATATGCTAAGTTACCAGAAATGGAAGAGCAATTGAAACAGAGGATGGAGGCTCTGACGCAGGTGAGGAGGCCCAACCAGGTACGCAGGGGAATCATATCATGTCATATCATCAGCTCTCCCTTTTTTTATTCCTCTGCACTTTAACGTTCCCGGGATACGATTTGTGTCTAGAAAGCTTATCTTTCTTAACGTGCATTATTGCCACAGAGTGTTCTTTCTATAGTTCAGTTAATTTCTTCAAACAACAATAATTTGCTGCTCTATGCTATGTACTACTACATGTATGATATGTAATAATAGCATTCAGCATACAGATCGAGTATTTTTGTGCACCGCAGTGTATCTTTACAATTTACGCTGAAATACACAAATTGCTAAATATAAATATAAGCTGAATTTACAGATTAAATTTGTTGCATCAAGAATTTTTAGTTACAGAATTTTTTTTTTAATATTTTAAAAAAGCGATTATGTCCTATCTTGTATAATTTGCAAATAATATTACGCAGCATGTATAGTGGAAGTCAACCTGGTCTGTACAAAATATATTACTTTTGCAAATGACGGATATGTATCATAATTTATAGTTTATGAATAGTGTATTACTTTTTGAATGTTTATTGATATAATATATCCTTTCTTTTTTTTTCTCGCTCATGTGCATATAACACGCTTTTAATTTCTTTTACCATTTCTATTATACAATATCTCATTTAGATTGTATAGAAATACGAGTATTAGAATAATCATATATAGAGAAACGTAAAATAAGTTACATTCATTACATGCCCTGAATTACATTTTTAATCATGCTCTAAATCAATCATGAGAATTGACATTCATCATTGAGACAGAATCAAAATTTGTTAAAGTGATGAGAAATAGTTTTCTAAACTTCAAATAACAAGAATTAAATTAAGTGTATTTATGTATTATAGAAGTTAATAATATTATAGATAAATCAATAATTTTAATTATGTGAAATTTAAGCAGGCTCAGGAAAGGCATGGTAGCGCGGAGGATAGAATTCAAAGACTGGAAGCACAATTAGAAGAAAAGAATGCAGAAGTGATACGTGTTAATCAGCGGCTAAAGATGAATGAAGAGCATAACACACGTCTTAGTACAACCGTTGATAAACTTTTATCTGGTAATTTTAACACATTATTTTTTCTATATTATATTGCCCTAATAATTGTCCACAGGACTATAAACAAAAATTATTTGATATTGTATTCATATACATATTGTATTATTATCAGAAACAAGAAAATACATTTACTATCTGGAAGAATATCTTAAATAGTGCTTAATATTTAAATTGTTTTTAATATAATTTTTATTTCCGTTTTCACTATTTTTCCTTTTTTTTCTATCCCATAATACTATGGCCATCTTTATAAGTTTGGAAAGATGGCTAATGCTCATGTTGTAATAGTTTAATATTATAAATTTTCTATAAAGTGTTTTTTTTTAAACATTGATAGCATTACATACTTTAAACTTCAATAAAGTAATAAGCTAAACATTATTTAAAAATAACAAAAATAAAAGTATGTTTTTACATTTTAAAAACTATGGCCATAATACCGTTTTTTTTTATTTCCTGGTTTCTGATTTCCTATAGAAATAATAATATAATAATTCTCATATTTTCAAAAGCAACAGATATTTTGATGCTGTACTTCATATATTTACCTATATGTATGTTTACATAGTTTATCGCTATAAAAAATATATGAAAAATGTATCATGAATTTTAAGTGACATTAAGAGTTTACATTTTTGTTTAGAATCCAATGAAAGATTGCAAGTGCATTTGAAAGAAAGAATGCATGCATTAGAAGAAAAGAACGCACTTACTCAAGAACTTGAGAAAATGAGAAAAGTGGCAGAGGATCTGCAAAATGAAAAGGCTGATATTGTGAAGGAATTGGGCAAGGCACGTCTGGAAATCGATAACGTTAAAAGACAAATGCTCCAGCAGGAAATTGCATTTAATATTCAGCAAACAGATGCGTTAACGAGAAGTTTGTCGCCAAACGCTGTGGATCCAGGTCCATTCTCAAGGAGCGCGAGTCATAGCAGTTTTGATACACATTCGTTGCCTAGAAGAGGCAAACGGTCTATTGAAGATGATTCGTCAAAGGTACTGTATTGTTTATATAAACATTTAAACAAATATATATATGCAAGTTAATTGTATTAAGTATGTTTAGAAATAAACACGTACTAATTGAATATTTTAGAATTATGTTGCACGGACTTTGGCGGAGCAAGAGTGGGAAAAGCTACAACAAGCGCATGTGCTAGCTAATGTCCAACAAGCGTTTGATGTTTCGAGTGATGCAGAAGGGGATGGGGATAACGAAAGTATCTTCAGTTGCTCGGCGGATGTAATAAGTCCTACTGGACATACGGATGCCCAAACATTGGCATTGATGTTACAAGAACAATTAGATGCTATTAATAAAGAAATTAGATTAATTCAGGTAATTGTAGTTATACAACAAATTTAAATCCATAAATCTCTGTCTTATATTGGGTTGATGCATAAGTTCGTTCAGTTTTTAAATTAAAAATTTCATACTTATTATATTTTGTCGATATACATTTAATCAGTGATATCAGCAATCTCACGAGTTTTATGACGATCAGTTACAATCAAGACCAAGATTTCGTGACCGTCAATTTCGGAAGGCTGTCTAGAACGTTTCTCATCCGTGAGATTAAAATTTTCATTACGGAATCGCTGGAACCATTTACAAACGGTGAAATCATCAATAGCATTTTCTCTGTAGAGAGAACATATTTTTCTTTTGGTCTGAACAGCAGTTTTGCCTTTTCGAAAATAAAAAAAGCATAATATGCCGAAAGTGATGCTTATTTTTATCCATCTTTATAAATTCACACGACTCACAAACATTAATCAACGACAACAAATTTGACAGAAAAGTTTCCGTTAAATTGCTACTTTTAAATGTTTAACACGTCATATAAGTGTGAAGTTGATAGCAGGTCGAATTCGTATATAAAGTGCGCGAATGTTTAAAAACGGGACGAACATATCCATCAACCGAATACAAATTTAAATTATTTAATGTGAAGGTAATGAAATAGTCTCATGCAAATTCAACAGATTTTCACATTCATATTATTTTCTAATTTATTCTTTATTTCTCTTTAAATCTCACTGAATCAATAGTTTTTTAAGTCTGAGGTGATTGAACATGGAGAATTTTGTAGGAAGAAAAACAAAGTACAGAAGCACGTGCAGAAGAACTGGAGTCTCGCGTCGGCAGTCTTGAACACATGAATCTATTAGCGAGAGGTCGAAGCCTCGAACGAGCATCGCCGCCACTGAGCGGGCGATCTACACCAAAATCGCATCACAGTCCAAGCAGGGATTATTTGCATAAGTACCACACCGTTAGTAATCACGTAAATGCATTGATTGTTTATTTATGTTAATTTGATTACATAGAGTATGAACAAAACGATCACGTTGTTTATATAATTTATTTCTGTATTTTTTCTACGTAGGCACCTGCGTCAATGTCTCCGGCGCATTTACATCAATATGCTGCTTCCTTAGCTAGTCCGGGCCAATTATCGGAATCTCTTCCTGCCAGTCAGGTTAGTTAACAATTCCATTTAATTATCATTAGAGTAATGTAAAATATTTTTTAAATTAGATTTACAGTAAAAGTATACTTTAAAATAATCTTTATAAATTAAAATTGAAATTGATTTCAGTATGCTATTTCTACTTAGAAAAAATGGTTGAAACTCTCTTTAGAAATTCACTGTTATTTTTAAAAAAAACGTAAAACTTTGGGGGAAAAATCAAAAACTTTTTTCTTTTTTGGTATCAAATATAGTTAATATCTTGACAGATAATATGTTGCAGTTTACAGTACCACAATAATATCATAAGATATTAATTTACTAATACGTACGTAAAAAGCTTTTGCAAAGTAAACTTTGAAAAACTGGTTAGGTAAGAAAATATTATTTCACACTTAATTCCAAAGGGTGTATAATTTTATATAGAATTAATTATTTTTAAGTTTAATTATATAATATAAAGATATATGATACAGAAAATTGGAAAGTTGCAATAAATAAAGTACTCGTGTGACATTTTTGCTTTGAAAAAATTAAGTTTTAATTGATTAAAAAGTCTGACATTGATTTTGAGACAGAAATGGAATAACATGTCCAATCTGGTAGTTGCAGTTGTCAGGAGAGGAACTGCACTCGGTTAGCGAAAGAGATAGTGTTGTGATAGGAAGCGGTAGCAGCGATGCAGCATCTCCTTTAACAGCTAGGTCTTTGAGATTGGAACGAGTCGTTCAAGCATTAGCCCATAGCCAGGAAGAACTTAGAAGGTATACTTTTCATTTTGTTGAGAGAGAAATTTTAATTCATACATGACACACATTTCTAAAAAAGAACAAGTCAAATTAGATATTTTACAATCGTGGATACAAAAGGCATTATGCAGAGGACATATTCAATGTGGGGAAACCTTAACTTTTACATTTGTTACATCTTAATTACATTGTATGTGTGGAGATGAGATTAGCCAAAGTTTATTATTATCTCTTAAGTTAGTACTTTTCATTGTTTGTGCTATCAGACGTACCGGACAGAGCGGATTTCCAAGTGGTGGTTTTCCCACGCACAGGTTAATTTACTGATACTAATACTGCATGTAACTCGTACTATTACATGCCGCTGTGCACGATGCATTTGAATGACTCTTGTGGGCTTGAGACAAATGATTTTCAAATAAGCCCAAACCACATTGATGGTAATTTGTTCATTGTTTAAACAATTACTTAGACATCTTGCTCAAAGATATAAAACAATGTTGCGTTCAAAGCATCACTTATATGTCCACAATATCGATTCTCGAGCACATACACAGTGACATGGAAACGCCCAATAGTTTGATAGAAAACATTCAAAAATTCCAAGAGAGATTGATACTAGCTTGTTTTCACACCCATCGTATTTTCGAACCTGTCCAATTCACAATGGGCATCGCGATCTTAGCCAAACGAAGAAACTAACGGAATCGAGAAAATTGGATTCACGATGCAAAATGCGCTGATCCATCTCGCGCATAAAGTTACCCTGCAAGAATATATTACAAAGATACAGACGGAAATTCGACTCTGTAGACAATGAAAACGATTCAAAATATATCGTGATTTAAAGAGACATCGAGTTTACGAAACATAATTTATTGTATACAACATTTTATAACATATATACATATTGCAGACCGTGGCGTTTATCTTATTATATATTTTCAATCTTTTTTTATCTGTAGCTTTGTAATTACTTGCTTTTATGACAATTCTATCTTATAAAGAGTTAATGATTAATATTCCAATGTGCAAATATGTGACACATCATAAAAATCACTTTTTATACGTTTCTTTATTAGTGTTGTTTTAAGAAACAATATTAATATATTAGATATTTTCATGCCAATCTTATTAATTTTTCTTTTATATGGTAATTTTATTTTATGTGCTTTCTATTTAAAAAAGGATAATTGTGCACTCGTATGTACTGTGCCAAAGCCATCATGTGTATCATAATTTGCTTGAATCCATAAGTTTCTTCCTTGCAGCGCAGTTCCATTAACAAAGAAGAAAACAAAGCTTGATCTATTTTCATAAACAGTGATACGAACCTTTGAAAGTAATACAAGCTAGGTATTACCATAAAATCAGCGCGTGCACTGTTCTTACGATAAGAAATACTTTAACCAATTTTTAATCGATATTTTATAAGCGAAACTACGTCCATCTCTCTCTCTCTCTCTATCTCTCTTTCTTTTTTCTTTTTCTCTTCTTTTATCAACTAGCTCATTCACGTTTATTGGCTTATTCGTATTCATATAAGAAGCATCTCAAAACCATTAAATGTTCTTTTAATGGCAGATTTTTTTACTAATTTGAAATTAATTACAATTTTTACTTGACAAGCAATAAAAAAACGGCGTTTTTGTGAAAATTTGAAGGGACAAAATAAATAAAACAATTTTTGGTTAACTTTAGATGGAATTTAATCAAAGGTAATACATAACATAAGAAATGAAAAATATAGTAATGATATTTCCTCACATTTTTATTAAGAAAACGTCGATTTTAAATTATTCAAAGAACAGTAGTTTTAAGATATTTTCTATAAATATTAAAAAGAAAAGGGGAAGTGGAAGACACAGAATGGGAACAGGGAGATTAGGGAGAGAGGGAGGGAGAGGGAGAGGAAGAGAGAAAGAGAGACTATATCTTGTATATAAAAGTGCAAAATGAAGCATAACAAAGAACATATGTAGTAATAACTTCAACAAAATTAATACCTTAATACATTCCGACACGGTCCAACATAGACCAACATATTTTTCACTTATTCAGTGGCTTATTCATGAAAGTGTTAATTATACTAAATTACATAAAATAATATTACAAAGAACACGTAATACTATAGTGATAATATAGTACAATAAACATGAGTATTAGGCCCAGTTGCACCAATGTCACTTAGCTTTAACTTTAATTCACTCTTGGTCTCTAAAGGAAACAGAGACGGAGAATGAAAGTTAAACTAAAGTTAAAGTCACAATTAATTAACACACTAATACAGGGTGTCCCCAATTTAAACGTCAAAATTTTGAGAGTATGTAGAGGATATATGTAGAGGACCGATGAATTAAAAAAAAGTCTTTTGCAGATTTGTTCGTTTTCACTCTGGAAAATCGCAAAAAAAAGAAAAAGTTTTCATCTCTCCATCAATTTATTTACACTTATTTATTTATGTTATCACCTATTTAATGAAAGTACTGTTCAAAACGTTGGCCTCTTGCAACAATGCATTCAGATCCACTGAAAGATTGAATTGCAGCTGCACTACATCAAATTATCAGAACAATGTCTAGCTACAATTAGAGCAATCAATGCTAGATGTAATGCCTAATTGCTGCAAAAAGTCAGCATGAAATTTTTGAACAGTATATTCATTAAATAGATAATAACATGAATAAATAAGTATAAACAAATAAGTAAAAAACGAAAACTTTTTGTTTCTTTTTTTCTCCAAAATGAAGTAAAAATGAGCAAGTCTCCAGGACTTTTTTTCCTTAATTTATCGATCTTTTCTCGGATCTTCTACATGCTCCTGAAGTTTTAAGGTTTAAATTGGGGACGCTTTGTATATAGAATGGAAGAAAAGAAATGTGAAAAGGATAATGTTCTTGTGCGCGCTAGAATGTAGTAGCATCAATTAGAGTAGAAATAGAAACTAGATTAGCGCTCCATGCAGCAGGCATGGGCAGCATAACAACGGCGCACTCAATTCTGGAACTCCTCCTTCCCCATTGTCCTCACGCCACAGCAGCCAGGACAGTTTGCACAAGAACAACTTCTCCAGTGTTGGGCTACCCATCGGACAATTATCGACATCGCACCTGCACATACAGTCGACTATGAGCCCTGCCACAGCAGCCGCGGTTGCGGCCGCACAAAAAAAGAAAGGCATTAAGAGTAGCCTCGGTAGATTTTTCAGCAAAAAGGAGAAGGTGAAAGAATTTATCTCTTTTATTCCCATATCACTTCAAATACGGAAGTGTGTGAGGTTTTATAAAGGCATGCTCTTCTCAGTTATCTTCTTGAAGACTCATACACATATAATAAAAAATGTCTTAATAATTTTTTTGAAAGTTTTTAGGTAATTTCATTAGATGAAAATGTGCATTTAGAACATTTGCTGCTTTGAGAAATCTAGAAAATTTAGAATTTTTCAAGAAACTCTCTCTTGTCAAAATTAGTTCTTTAAAAAATTTATTTTTATTTTGCAAGTATATAACAAACACATGCTATATATTTTGTCTAAAATTAAATTTTATGTTATTTTATGTAATTTTGTATAATTAGATTGTATATAATTTTATATTAGTTTTGTTTTATTTTAGTGTATGCGTGCATCATAAGGATTTAATGTATATTTACTCCACTTTGATTATTTTCCATGGAAAAGTTTACCGCGAACCTCACAAACGTCCGCGTATATAAATATAAAATTTATTAAAAAAGAGAAAATTGATCTATGGTTATAAAACACTTTGTTTGTATAATAATCCTGATCACTTCGTTACTTAGATCAAAGGGAAAGATACACCAATGCCGGGGGATGTACCAGGTATGGGAGGTGCATGTACACCAGCTGATCCAGACTATGGGGACAGTGTGTCAGTAGCTGGTACGGTTGGAAGTAAAAGTGATTTTGATCGTAGGAAAAAGAAGAGGTATTTATAACACATTGCTATTTTAATAGTTGTGAATTATGTTTATTAAGTTTGAATACCATGAAATCTGTGCCATGAAAGATATAAATTATAATGTAACACACGCGCGTCCTGTTCCTTACGATTAAATTAAATGTGAAAGAAAGTATTTTCTCGAGTTTCTATTTGTTTATAATAAAAAATTTGCAGTATCGATAAAATTATAACAATTCCATTATGAAATTCAAACCCTTGGGAAATAGTGAAATAAAAAAATTTCAAGAAGATAGTTATATGCATATATATAGACATCTACAGATAGCTATCTATATATATATCTATCAATATTTAATATTATAGTCCAAGTATGTTTGGTAGTATGTTGGACTCCTCGCGGCACGAGCTTTTAGCAGAAGCGATGAAAGCCGGAACGCCCTTTGCTTTATGGAACGGACCAACGGTAGTTGCCTGGTTGGAGCTCTGGGTAGGCATGCCGACGTGGTATGTTGCTGCTTGTCGAGCAAATGTTAAAAGCGGTGCCATCATGAGTGCTCTTAGCGATACCGAAATTCAACGAGAGATTGGTATAAGGTATACTGTACAAATTATATTATAAAAACAAACAATTGAGATAAAATTGTATTATAATATTACAATTGTTTTCCTTCTTCTGTGACAGTAATCCTTTGCACCGATTAAAACTGAGACTAGCTATTCAGGAAATGGTGTCGCTTACAAGTCCATCAGCGCCAAAAACTTCTCGCACAACATTAGCATTTGGTGATATGAATCACGAGTGGATAGGTAATGTCTGGTTACCAAGCCTCGGGTTGCCTCAATACCGATCGACTTTCATGGAGTGCCTTGTTGATGCTAGAATGCTCGATCATCTTACAAAGAAGGATCTTCGTGGTCAGCTGAGAATGGTTGACAGCTTCCATAGGTAGGATTAAGGCAAAGTCATTTAAGACTTTAGTTTGTGTTATTAATAGTTTAAGATACATTATTTGTCTTTTAATATTCTCAATAAAATTATCAATATATTAACGTGTAGATTATATCAATATAATTAACATATCATTGGTTAATCATGTACTGGCGTCAAATAATTCTTTATGTTATCAATATATTATTGCAGAACAAGTTTGCAGTATGGCATTTCCTGTTTAAAACGACTAAATTATGATAGACAGCAATTAGAAGAGAGAAGACGAATGGCAGAAGGTGCCAATATAGATGTACTTGTGTGGAGTAACGATCGTGTCATAAGATGGGTACAATCAATTGGTTTAAAGGTAGATAAATGTTCCCCAATGCTTTGCTAAAATCGATTATTTACAAAAAGAACTAACATTGAATTTATACTCATAGGAATACGGGAATAATCTCTTAGAATCAGGAGTGCATGGTGCGCTCGTAGCTTTAGACGAAAATTTTGATGCAAACAGTTTTGCATTAACTTTACAAATTCCTACGCAGAATACACAGGTAAATGCTTATAATTGCATTATAATAGAAATAATTGCAAAAACATAAATAAATATATTCTGTATTATTTTTGTAGGCAAGACAAGTGCTAGAAATGGAATTTTCCAATCTGTTGTCGATGGCGACGGAGAGACGTCTGGATGAGAATAGCATGAAATCCTGATCCATCCCGTCAAGTCGGCTGCCTCATATTCAACCACATCATGTCTAGTCCAAAACCCCAGCTATTGCTATTATCTATGCGTGTGTTGTAAAAGTTGTAAGAGCTTTAAGTATCACGCTAGAAGTATCTCTTCATATTGTTATGACAAATGTGACATTTGGTAATACCGAGGTGTGTTTTGACATAAGCTTATATAAGTTAAGATAAACTTACACGATACATTCGATACTTAAGGATCCATCTGATCGATTTTTATGCTGCACGCGCATAAATCGATGCGCCATATATACCACATTATATACCTTTTGATGAAGAGGAAAAAAACTAGTTATTTCGAGCAGTTTTTCATATAGATATTGAAATGTAGCAGGCAATTGTTAAATTAAATAGAACGACACAGTGATGTATAATAGCACTCTCCTTAAAAGCATGAGATATCAATTGCAGACGATTACGACAATAATTCTTTCTGAGTTAACTTCATTTGTTTATTAAGTCGATAAGTCTCAGTATTATGGTGTCGTGTAGTAAAGTATATTTGTTGTACAACTTGGTACAATAACCTGTACTTATAAAATTCAATAAATATTTAAGGCAGGGTAAGTTAATACTTTGTACCGCACAAAGAAGTGGAAAAACAAGAGTCTACGATATCGTTGCTTTTGAGGAAATTATTCATATATGAGGTGTCCTGTAACTGGTAATATAATAGGAAGAGTAAATCTATGTGAAAAAATTAGTTGAACATGTTAAATAAGTTCTTTTGTTGACAAAATTCTCTCTTTGTTAAACTCGGATAGACTGTGAATTACTAAATAAATTTTGCTATCGAATTTACTTTAATGTCTATCCGAATACAAATTATATAAGATTATATTTTCAAAGTTAAAAATAGACTTAATGTATTGTATGCATATAGCTTTCAATATTTTAGATTGTTTTCAATTACACAGGGTATCCTCTTAATCTAAATATGTAAATATTTCTCTAATTTTTATGATAGAAAAGTATATCTGAAGAAAAACAGTATTTATTTTGTAGGAATACATTCTGATTTAGAAGAACCTTTTTTCAAGAAGTCACAATTTTTAAGATTTCAAGATTATTGATATTTTCTTAAATAAAACCATATGATTTATTTTATATGAGTCGATCTAAAAATAAATATTTATGAAAGTATTAAAATAAGATCATCCTAAAGTAAATAGATTACGAGATATACTTTGTAAGTCATATTTTATTCCAATATATTCTGACAAGATATTAAATATCATCACAAGATGTAGCTATCAAGAATTTTCACTTTTTGATGATTTTGTCTTAATACTTTTATATATAAAATAAGGATAAATAAATGAATGACATACATTTGTAGATACAATTCAATTGTGAACACATTGATGTAAAAAAAGTATACAATTTTATTTAAAAATTACAATAATATTATTATGTTACAATTGCTGTGCTTGTGCAAAAGTAGAATCAATTTTATTTGCTACTGCATATACAAAAGTATTCAATTATTCTGAATCAAACTATTACAGAAATACATAATGAATACTTTTTATTTACCTTTATGTAGTATTTTTATTTTATTCTTTACATATATTTAAGTCACCTTCCAACTTGTATCATAGGACACCCTGTATATATTGTATGCAAAAGCTGCTATGTTTCTATATCTATAACATCAGATAGCATACAGCTAGAAAGCTGCGCATAGAAATTACCGGTCATTTCTTTTCACAAACAGAGCTCCAAAGTGTTTGATTTCTTATTACTTTGATGAACTATGAATATTTCTAGCGCCATGTATACTGTACTAAACCATGCAGTATACCAGAACGTAATATATATTATTACGTAATTATATGCGAGCGAAAAGCTAAAGCAGTTGACGCTCACTTTTTATTTACTAAAAGGATTCCGAACATTTTATACTACAAGATATTTGCAAATGCGGTTATATGAATGTGTGTTGGTAAATGTGTTGTAAGATTAGACAATTTCAATTATATTTTTTAAATGAAGCTACTGACCAATTTTGTGCGTATCGTTCGTAATAATTGGATCTAATATTTCGTGGACAATGACGAATATCCGTTAACATGGATATTATTGTACTGCTTTTACGTTGCATATATAATACAATAGTAAATAAGTAGAATCGGAAGCGAAACAATGCGACGCGTACGGTAATCGCAATGGGAGAACTGTACGATCGTGCGGAGGAGTTAACCATAGCGACGATTAAGACTATATAGAAACAATGTTGCTGAAGACAATGATCGCGCAATGGTAATTATTATTGCCAATTATATAGACAACAAGTAAAGTTGAAGATGTGGCAAAAGACTGAAACATTGGTGGTGATTGTAAAAACGAACTGATCGAGATAAAAAAGGAAGAGAGACGATCACAATAATGACGATAAGTTATAAATACAGATGTTGTTAATGTTGTTGATACTTGAGCAATCATTGTTGTTGATGTTTGTTTCTCATGAACTGTAACTCTTCTCGCAAGCTGTTTATTCATTATAGGCTTCATAGTTCTGCATGACTTTCCGAACGGGCGTAAATGTACCAAATAGTTTCTACCAAAGACTTTATATTGATTATATACATTGATTAAATATACGCTAGAAAGATGCAGTGTCGACGCTTCTGATGCAATGTAATATCCCAAATAGTTAAATCTGGGTCAAAAGTAGATTTCGCAGACAGTGTCTCTTCTAGATTTTGTCGGCAAACAGAAATGTAACAGAATCGGCTAACAAAATATAATAGCAGATTGACTGCAAAAACTGAACAAAATCTGCCATTTCTATCTGGATAGATAGCCAAATTTGTCAAGAACATATGTAGAAACCTACTAATTTTATTGATAGAAGGCTAACAGAAATACTAACAGAATTCGATAACAATGTTAATAATAGATTGACTGTAGAAACTAAGCAGAATATCATTTCGTACTTATCTAACTGATGTGTTCTATTTAAATGTTTACGAAATGACAGATTCTGTTTGATTTTTTCCAATAATCTGCTGTCAGATTGTAGCGATTAAGGCTTAGTCAGAATTAAAAATACGAATTTAATACGGACACAGATAATACTGGATATCTTACAATACTTAAACAAATCTGTTGTTATATTGCGAGCAGTTTATTTATAGGGCATTTAAATACATTTTATTTGAGTGATGACAGATTCCGTTTTATTTCCGTTGACAATTTGTTGCATTGGAAAAGAATCGTAATACAATTGATACCTATCATAATATTCTGTTCGAATCTGTTGGTAAACCGTTAGCATACTGCCAAAAGTTTATTTACTAGGATATTGATCAAAAACTTATATCAACAAATTATATCATGTTTTCGGTATATGGCACTTTTTTCATCACATCATCAATTTCAAGCATCCTTCTAATCGGAAATATATATTACAGTCCAAAGCAACATTATACTACTGCCATATTAAAGTATGATTATACTTTTTCTTCCGCGGACATGTTAAATTCATCCGTCGTCATGCATGTCCATGATCTGTGCACCGTAAATTGCAATTCGTGTATAAACTGTTCAACAAAAAAAAAATACGAGCACAAGAAAGAGAATAACTGTTTGCCGTAGCTTTTTAGGTGTTAAGATCCTGATAATCAAATTGTTTTATCCCGTCGTACAAGTTTGAGTATTTTGCAATTAAACTTGGGATATTGTAGACATATTACATGCAATATGTGTTAGACATATTTTTTGCAATCAAAATTATGCTATTACTATTAGGACTTTTAGCCATTAAAAGGAATTTAAATAAATTAATAAGAAAATAATCACAATAGAAAAACCTATGACGGTGATGCTGGATCTTTCTGTTTCTAATATTTTAATGCAAATATATATCATTATTCAACATAGCAACTACACGCCGATAACTTAATCGGTCTTGAAATACTATTAAACTAAAGTCAAAATAGTATACCTAATTAACAATCAATTTTATAAATTTATTATTATTAAATTGGTTGTTCAAATTTTATTACATTTTGGTTTGTTTTCACGAGTGCTACATATTCCTAAAATTTGGTACCACATTTTTTCAACATCCTATATAACATTCATGTTCAATTTAATTAAGTATATTATTTCGACTTTAGCTTAATATTATATTTCAAGACCAAATAAAATTATCGGTATTTAGTTTCTATTTTAAATAAATATGTATACGTAAAAATATTATTAGATTCGAAGATGCACAATGACCGTTATATGTCTTGCGGTCACGATTTACTTAAATTTTGATGATCCAGTTTATTATTTAAAAAAAACTGTTGTATTAATTGTGAAAAAGATATTCATACTCTTATAAAAATATAAGTTCTAGTCATTACTAACGAATTACTGTACATCAGTAATTTCTAATAATTCACTTACTGAACTCTAGTAATTGTTCAGTGCTTTTTTCGTTCCCAGTTGTTACATTTCTGTAAGATAATTAATATAGAAAATCTATTGTGCAACCTATAAAGGCCATTAAAGATCCACTACATTTTTTAAATTATATTATCCAAACTTAACTTTTAATTCCGCTATTTTAATATTATCTACTTTGACACCTGATTGGTATTTAATCTGAAAAATCTTTATGTTTAAATGATATAGTTAAAAAAATATTTAATAGATCCTATGGCACATGTAAGTCGCAACTTTGACGTAAATAGACTCTATATTAATCACAAATATTTTTTAATCATAATTGACACAACAAATTCTCTTTAAGAGTTGAAAGTATTAATAGCATATATACGGTTGACTACAATAAGATTTCTCCAACTTGTTATCTTCGTTCTTGTGCATTTTTTGTTGGATAATGTTATACAGGATGTTGAAAAAATGTGGTACCAAATTTTAGGAATATGTAGCACTCGTGAAAACAAAACAAAAAGTCTTAATAAACATTATTCCAAAAATCTTTTATTTCTGAGTTATAAAGTATTATCTGCTAATATATATATATATATATATATATAATATAAAGTGAAATGTAAATTTAATTTACAGTAGATGTTCGATGTACCCTCCGTTTATTTCAATACATAGTTTGACATGCTTTCTCATTGAAATCAAACATGTTCAAAGATTCTAGATGTATTTCGTATATGTTTTCAAAAGTTTTCAAGTTTCTGTATCAGTTCATCTAACGTGTTAACTGATGTTGCGTACACCATATTTTTTAAAATCCTATAAAAATTTAATGGATTTAATCTTAGAATCTCGTGAAGGGTATAAATGTACGAGCGATTACATATAAACATTTGATTCAATGCATACTTGTGAAATAAACGAAGAATATATCAAATATCTTATAGCTTAGAAATAAAAGGTTTTTGAAATAATGTTTATTAAAACTTTTTGGTTTGTTTTCTCGAATGCTACATATACCTAAAATTTGGTACCACATTTTTTAACACCCTGTATATGAATAATTTAATAAATTATACAAGTATAAGTCATCTTGACAGACAGCAGAAATAAAGCGTGCATTTTCATTTACTTGCTGTGAAAATTGTTGTTAAATAATATTTAAAATAATTTTAAACTCCTGGTTACACGTGTTGCTTTTGCACGTAATAAATTTTTATTTTCTGCAAAGTGTGATATCGATAACATTTAAAAATACATCGTAAAATTTTCGATAAAATTTGTCAGTATTTCAATGTTCTTAGTTTTGTGAACATTTTGTTTTCTGCGTAACGATAGGAAAAATAATCGAAGATGATAAAAATATTGCATATAATACATATTATTTTTCATTCATTAATGGGATGTAACAAAAGTGCTCGTCTGCGTTTCACGGAATACGGAACTTTTCCCATCTTTCCCCTTCGGAAGAGTCTGCAGCAACTCACAAAGTGACTGAACATTATTTTTAACATGTACTAGTTAATAGTGTCTGTGGACATTCCAAAAGAACCTTCCAAACAGAAATAACCATACTTGTAATCAAATATATGCACGTCATGGTTTATTATATATAGCAGCTTCGACGCCTTCTATGTATTTAAATATAAATGTATACATAAGTATGAAAGAGAGGAGGAGAAGAGGAGAGTGGAGAGAGAGAGAGAGAGAGAGAGAAAAAACTCGTAAAGTCCAGTTTGTTACTGGTCGATATTGAATAGAATTGAAATAAGCGAATACTAAAATTATTTATGGATGATTTCCTCTTTGATGTATAGTACGTCTTTCCACAAGAATGCTAATTTGATTCTCTGCTTTATCTCGCTTTTATTAATTCTTATGTCACATGTTATTATAATTCGGATAAATTTCTTTTGAACAAAATCAATCGACTCGATTTTGTTACATTATAGTTATTTATCCGTGCCGATTTTTGTTGCAGCACTTCGTATGAATTCACATATTGTCTTCAGCAATACAGGAAATGTTGAATGTTACGTTGAGACTTGATAACATATAAAGTTGATTTGTCTTACGCGCTTTTAAAGGAATACAGTATGTATACATATAAATCATGTAGAAGACCTGATTATCGCTATACATATCATAAGACATGCGATTCATCAAATCTGTTATCATTTCCGATCAAACATTTGCACGCTCGCTCAGTGAAAGCACATTCACGACAACATAAAACGTAAATAGTATTACATACAATCATTCAGTTTTCTTTTTATGGAAAAAATTACGAATTTTCATTGAACATCCTTCCTTAATTCAGTCGAGCTGGCGAGAAATCAAGATTTCAACGTTATTCCAAACTTTTGTACGATATATATATACACACATATATATGTGAGTGGTACTATAATATATACTGCTTAAAATGTACATAAGTATGAATATGCGTATGTGTGAGTGTAGTGTGTGTACATATATATATCTTTCTCTATGTATGTATATATATATATAATTATTTATTAACAATCATGTAATTTTCAGACAGTTGAGATTCATTGCGGTAAGCTAAGCTTATCTTAAAGAATAGTTTATCGAGCCGTTATTACAATCCTTTCCATTTAAATAAATTCATTTAGTAATTGAACAAGAATTGGCTATTTTATCGAGCTAGCTTATTCATTTATGGAAATTTTATAAAATTTATTCTTTTTTATCAATGGAATGTGTGATTGATATAAACATTTAAAAGGCAGACAACTATACGTGCGTATGTATATACATATACGTTTTTGTTATATATAATATGTATATATACAGGGTGTTGCGTAAAAATAGAAACAAGATTTAAGGGTAAATTCTTGAGATCGTTTAAGACAAAACTCTGAGTATCAAAAAATACTCGGGCAAATAATTTTTTTAATTGAACGCGTTGAAAGTTAGCGAATGAGATAGTCTAAAATTGGCGTGTTCAGATATGGTACAACGCATAGTGCTTTGCTTAAGGCAAAGGCTGTCCGTTGCTCCTCTTGTCAATATCGATATCGATATTAGGGTAAACGGAGACGAATCGGATCACAGGATTGAGACTACATTTGTTACATTCCGATCAAAACTTAGGCTGAATTCACACCTTGGCAGAAAAGCAGGAAGCAGAAAAACAGAAGCTAATCAGAACTCGCGCTGGTAGTCTCTCTGCTGGTAGTAAACAACACATTCTGCTGGTAGAAAGTAGAAACGATTACCAGCGACAGTTCTGATTGGTTCTGATTGGATTTTTGCTGTTCCATTTTTGCTTTTCTGTCAAGGTGTGAATCCAGTCTTATTCTGGCGCGCAAGTTACTCGGTCTGCCCTACGTATACAAAGAGAATGAATTTTCTTCCACCACTGTTCGCATATATGCGCTATTTGTGTGGATACAATTTTCTTGAAAATATTACAAGAGAAATAGTACTACATGATATATAAAACGTAAGCTGTCAGGTAACAGTTCTTAGTAACCTTTATTGTATGTACAAATATCTATAAGATATGAAATTAGCAACAGATATACAGCAGCCTTCATTCAAAGAAATGTCATTTGACAGTTTACGTTTTACATATCATGTAATGTTTTTTCTCTTTTAATATTGTCAATAAAATTGTATCTGCACTAGTGTAGGTATGCAAATATTAGTAAAAGGCGACGGACAGTTTTCATCTTTAGCACTGTGTGCCATACCTGCGCCAATTTTAAGCTATCTCAATTGCAACTTTAAACGCGTCTAATTCAAAACTACTGTTGCCTCAGTATTTTGGTATTAAGATTTTTGTCTTCAAATGGTCTAATAAATTTACCCTTAAACTTAGTTCCGATTTTTACAGAACATCCTGTATACATATACATACGTATATGTATATGTATACGGAGTTTTCTGGTAAAGGCTGGCAAAATCTCGTGAACTTGTAGAGTGTGTAAAAATAACTCCACAAGTTCCTATAAAGTTTTTTTTATAACGCTTCTTTACCAAGATATCGAAACCGTATTTCTTGACCTGGTTGACAGCCTGTAGCATTAAAAAATTAACAGATTTACCTCAAACAGAGCGCAATCTAATCGTAATTAAATTCTTTATCGTCCATCGAGATATTTTTTATTCGTATTTTATTCATTTTTGACGGTTAGAAAGTTGCAATTTTTTAGTTTTACTTCAAACTTGTCGCAAAACTCGAAAAATTTATTTTTTAAAAATCCGGTTCGATGGACCGTAGCCACTAGTCTCTAGTTTAATAAGCACTGTCGTTTATTTATTTTGGATAACAATTGTAGCCGAAACCCTGTCAACCAGTCTTCCATGTATTTTGTACAATGCTAGCTACGATGTGCTGTTTTCCAGTCTTACTACCAATAAAATATTTGACAAAACTTTTTATGTGTTATATAAACTTCAAGCTTTATTTTTAAAAAGCATCATTTTTGGTTTGTATTTACAAATAAAAAGTGTTTAAAGATCGCAAAAATTAATGAGAACTTGTGGGGTTATTTTTACTCTACAAGTCCATGAGAGATTGCCAGCCTTTACCAGAACACTCTGTATAATATATTGTATATGTATACATATACATATATGTACATATAT